AATGGATTGATTTGTCCTGAACATCTGCTTAATTTTAAATCTAATTTACAGGTTTTACAATGACAACACAATGCAGCCTTATTATGTGCACACATTGATTGAACCAGATAGTGCAATGATGAAGAAACACTAAAAATTATTTCTGAATTTTAAAGTGATGGTCTGAAGCGACAACTTATTTTTATTTATTGGATATAAAACTTGTAAAGATTGCCCAGTTTTAGGTGAGATGGATATGCTTCTTTTTTTTTTTTTTTTTAGAATGGATGTGATTCTCATCAGCAGACTGAAAGAGAAGCTTGCCGGCAGGACGTGATGCTTTATTCTAACCACGGAGGGGGGTGGGGTGGGGGGCTGAATTTACCTGAAATCACTGTAGGGGTGAATGATCCAAAACCCAGCAGATTTAACTCGCTCTTGTTCCCTCTCCACCGCCTTCTCGCTCCCAAACATCCTCAGGGAGAACTTGTTGACCCCCGGTTGGAGCATGGCCCCCAGCTGTCTGTGGATGAACCCAGCCTGATACAATCTCTCGTCGTCCGGCAGAATTTGATCGATGCCGTCCAACTTTATAAACCCAGCCTGCTCCGGAGGCTCGCTGGAGGCGCCGCCGCTCGCGCCCTGCGCACCTTGGCCCGCCTGCTCCTCACCTATGGCTCCGGGGGGGCTCTCTTCGCTGGGGGTGACGTCCCCCTCGGTGATGAGGCGTCTCGCCTCGGCGGAGTCCGAGTCGTGCACATGTCGACTCGTGATGGACGAGAGGCTGCCTCGGAATCTCCGACAGTCTCCATTCGAGCTCGTCTTCATAGGTCTCCCCATGTCCGTCTCCATGATCACAGACTCCCCACTTCTTGTCTCGCTGATGCCTCTGCAGCTCGCCCCGGAGGTCGGCGACGGCAGAGGTTTCATCCTGATGCTCTTCCTCCGGGTGTCCTTGTCCGCGTCTTCTCCTTCGCCCATTATGGATGCTCTGTGTCCAATGTGCTGTGGCAAACTGTAGAGCCTTTTACGCATGGAGGATTGCAGCCTGTCCATTATGACATTGAGACGCAGGGGAGGGAGTCAAACAAATCCAGCGCGTGCTGGAACGACCACAGCCACCATCTCCGCGCCCCGCATCTGTTTGTGAGAGCGATCAGTGTGGAGCTAGTCTGAATCCCTGAAATCCTGCCACGCGTGCCGTGAAACGCCGTGACTCCGCTGACACAGATGAGGGACACTCATGGTGACTATTATACCTGGCAGTTCACGGACAGCCCGGCCGCTCCGTTTGGCCACCGCGTCCTCGATGAGCATCCTTGTGCTGCTCCGGCATTGTGCGCAAAAGTGTGCGCGTGTGTGGAGGGTTGGGGGGGATTGGGGAGGGGGGGGGG